CCGTTGTTGGTTCAACATTACCCGAAGTTTAATTTAGTCGTTTTCTTACGTTAAATATCGCATTATGAAATAATTAATTAATAAATATGACGAAATGTAACACAAATACAAATACAAATAATAATAATAATGTCTTTTATTTTTTAAAAAAAATTATAATTAATGTATTTAATAGAATAGCAATACTAAAATGAAATGCTATGAGCCATTCCCCGAAGAAAGTCCATAAGTGGTCTATTATCACAGTCATTGAACACTGTCCGAATTTGTGCTTCACGTTCACGGTCCCGTTTTTTTTTTGTAAGGGTCGTGGTATTCCTTGTAAAATCGATTCTACATCAAGCTCAACTCGATTTTGTTCTTTTTGCAATTCCTTTATGATTTTGTAAACACCTAAATGTGCAGTACCTACTAAGGCACCCATCTTCGATGCCAAGCCTCTACAAAATTTTGAGTTCGCGGAAATGCATAGTCGATATTATCAACGACTGACCAGAAGTCAGGTGTAAATAATGGTGGTGCTCGAATTGCATTCCCATGTCTTAATGTGCATCTTTTTCTACCATGCACATAGTACTCTTCGAACCATTCTACGATTTTGTTAGCCTCTGGAGGAATATCATCCTTTAATTGATCAAATGCTGGATGAATATCGTCAGGAGGCAAGAAAGCAAGTGCAGGAATGTAAATTATGAAAATTTTATTCTGATGTCTTTGTGAATTATAGTTATATTTATAATGAAAAAATTGTCATGTAGACAACAAGTAAACCATACTCTTTCTGGGTATCAAGTGATTGGTAACAATAATTAATTGTCGATTTTAAAATTTTTTAAAACCCATCTTTGTACAAAGTAGGTTTTCGCCAAATTCCTTTATATTACAAATTAAAAGATGCACAAAAATTTTGGAAAAAGTACATAAATCAGATATAATTTATACTCTTTCGAGTTAGCAAGTGAACGGTAACAATAACCAATTTGATTTTAAAATTTTTTTTAAAATTAAATATTAACCAAAATTATCGAATCTAAAAAAATAAAACAAAAAAAAAAATTTATTATTATTGTTTTTTTAAAAAAAATGTTTATAAAGCATGCATGGTTATGATTCTAGCCAAAAATTGACAAAAATTAAAAAGTATTTATTTATTTATTTAACACAATATTTTTTGTAATTAAAGCACAAAATTCGTCTGATAGCTTGATTTTAAGGTTTCTGGTCTAATATACCTAGCTCTATATAAAAAACGTTGAAAACCCCAAATCAACAAAATAGTTTGAGCTTTGAGAAACAGTTTGGGCTAGAAACCTTACTTGATTGTCAGACCTATTTAATCATACGATTTTAATAATATCAAAAACTAATTTTCAATTTAATGATTTAGCGTAACATATGCATTGCACTGTTTAGTATCTACTACTACCATTTAATTTATTTATTATTAGTATAATTTGCATTTGTATGATTGTAATTAAGAAAGAAATTTGATATTATACATTCCTGATGGAATTCAGAAAATTCAGCTAAAATCAGAGTGCTAATTAGTTTGCAAGTATATGAATGACTCAAATTTATGCATCATGAAAGGAATATTACCAATTTGTCTGATCCACACACTCTACTAAAAAACAATAATTATTATCAATACTAAAATATTCAATGTCAATATTGTTGCCATCACTATCATCACCTCATTTATCATTAGTACGATACATAAGCCGACGAAATGAACTTTCGACGAAATGATTGTCGATGAAGTCATTGTCGACGAAGTGATTGTCGACGAAGTGATTGTTGACGAAGTAAACGGGACTGGGCCGATCTTTAAAAAATGTCAAACATGGCTTACACGTAATTTGGTAATGTCCATTACCAAGACGTGTAAAATGTTTCCAAATATCACCATATCTTGGACCAAGTTTATTTTTGTTATCAGACATCCTTAATTATTATATTAATGGGAGATATAATTAGAAAAGTGAGGAAGTTGGAATCGACTAAACTTTTTTTTGAACAACTAATAGTCGAACTATCTTAGTCAACTAAATAGTCAACTATTTTAATCGATTATTAGTCAATTACAAATACTACTAATATTAATGCAAACACTATGCTAATATTATTATTTGTCTACCAATTACGATTTTTGTGTTTTATCATAAATTTCTGTGCGGAAGAGTATCAATACCATCTATATGATGACGACGACAATAGTTGCGGTGGTGTTGATGATAATTTTACATGTGAACGAATAAACACTTCCAATACAAGGTCCGATTGTCCATTGGCTTCAAATTCCAATGATAAGCGGTGGTTCCAGAAGACCTTTAAAAAACAAATCGTAACACAGTTTGTGTGAAAATATTTTTGAAAAGTGAAGGATTAAAATGGAAATGAATTCGTAATAAATAAAAAAAAAACGAAATATTATTATAAAAAAAAAATTTAGTCAAATAAAATAATCGACTAATGCTAAATAATCAACTAATGCTAAAATAGTCAACTAAAATAATCAACTAATAGTCGACTGAGGATTTTTTGGACAAATTCTCTACTTTTTATTTGTATAACAAATATTATATCGAAAGCTTATTCAAATATATTTTTACTCAAATGAATGATTCGAATAAACGAATAATTCAAATAAATGAATAAAACAAATAAGTTAAATAATTGTATAATCAATTTCTTTATCTGAGTCTTCTTCATCACTTGATGCATATTCTAAATTTTTATTCAATTTGTTATCTGATTTGTTTTTAGCATTTCCAAAATGCGAGGTTTGCTTATTTCGTCTTGGTATTTTTCTAATTGGAAGAATGTAAATTTGTTAGTAATGTATTGTTTGTTGATTGCTTACAAAAAATATGACTGGCTTTTTTTTTATCATTAAAATTGAAAAAATTCTCTATTTCATTGTTTCTTAGGTTCTGTTGTATGTGAAATTGAAATATTATGGAATGGGGTGAAATTCTGATTGGCTAATTTGAATTTCACATATGTGAATTGCGAATTCATTTTCACGTACAACAATAAAGGTTTCAAAAAAAACCCCCCTTCAATGATTTGAAGTTGCACAATTTTTTGATGCCTTTATATGACCTGCGCCATAGAATATTTCTCGCAGGAAAATAAACCCTATGTAAAACCTACATAGGGTTCAGCATTATATGGAAGTGTTAACAGAATTACCAAAAATCTCAACATAATATTATAATGATGTGATCTATGTTTGATAATCTACAAGTATGGAAGAACGCCCCAAAGATAGATGATTTTTTTTATAAATTTTATAGATAAAAATGAATTTATTCTGCTAGAAATTTAATAAATTAATTGATAATAAAAATTTATGTAAAAAATACACATTCATTTTTCAATTTTTATCAATTATTTGAAAAACCTCTAATTCATCATATTTACTATGATTCACTATATTGATGTAATTATAAGTGCCAGGATTACTCTTAATACTGCCATTCGAAACAAAATAAATATCATCATTTTTACCAAAATCAGGAAACCAAGAAGGCTTACACATAATTGCATATTCATTACTATTATTATTAACATAACTAAATTGAGCAGTATTAATATCATTCCTATTCTTTATGTTAAATATAAAACTATCAGTTGTAGTTTTACTTTCATCCCCATTCCAATTAAGTGGATTATAGCCTCCAACTATTTGATCTGAATTTTGTATTCTTCCAGCTGCAAGAGTTTTGTTGATATTATCACATTTTTGATGGAATGTAGTTGGATCCAAACCATCTCTACTACTTCGATATAAAAGTTTAAATTCATATTTGACTTCTCTGAATGATGTGTATGGTGTATTTTTTTTATCAATCCAACTTGCAAAAAGCAACAATGATGTTTGGTTAATTGTTACTGATTCAAGTTCTAGAAATATTGTCTTAATTTTTTGATTTCTTGATGGTAATAAATTTAAGGCTTGCTGTTTGTCAGAACCCAAATAATTATCTAAAAGAGTTTCCCATAAATCCTTAGGAAAAAGCCTCTTAAAAGGTAAAATTTTATAACGAAAATCCACACTAGAGATATCCTGGAATCGAACCAAAGAAATTAATCCTTTCAAAGTATTTCCTAAATCAATAAAATTTTGCTTTGTCCAAACTTTAACATAATTAATATTGTTAATTTCTGGATGCTTGGCTAGTCCCCATTTAAGAATACTTTCCCAAATAATTATTTCATCAACATGAAAATCATCTCTTTCAAGTATAGCCAATAAAATTGGTTTTTCTAATAGTTCAAATTCACTTGATTTAAATAAATTATCACCATATTCACAAATTTTTTCAAGATAAATATTTTTCAATTCCTTAAATCTTTCTTCATTGGAGTGGATTAATCTTAGAATTATAACTGGATTTTCTTTAATGTAATCCTCATGTTTTTCAATAAAGTATTTCATTGTGTGTTTGTAAAATAACTCAAGACCAAGTTCATCAGCTGTAATCAATAATTGTAATATATCAACTCCATTAAACTCATGTAATTCAATTTTACAAGTATATAAAA